CCCATGTACCCGAAGTTACCTGGGACTCTTGTCTATTTCCTACCTCCTGGTGGATAGCTAAATAATCTTCATCAGGTTCATCTTCTTATTTAGCTTCTCTAAGATCACGAATAATAGGCTCAAAGACCTTTAATTATGGTTAGAATCCACTTATGAGTGAATACATACCGTGTTCCTCTTTTTGGGTCTGGCTTACCTCACTCAGTAAAGCGTTTTCTATTTCCATCCATTTGCATGCAAAATTCAAGATGTCATTGTTTTTTACCGCTGAGTAAAACTCTAATGTGTATATGTTCCACACCTTTTTTAACCATTCTTCTATTGAGGGGCACCTAGGCTGTTTCCAGGTTCTGGCTATTACAAATAGTGCTGCTATGAACATAGTAGAACAAATGCTTTTGTAGTATGTTAGGGAATCTTTAGGGTATATTCCCAAGAGTGGAATTGCTGGGTCCTGAGGGAGGTTGACTCCCAGTTTCCTGAGAAACCGCCACACTGATTTCCACAGTGGCTGCACGAGTTTGCATTCCCACCAACAATGGATGAGTGTTCCCATCACCCCACATCCTCTCCAGCATAGGCTATCGTTGGTGTTTTTGACTTTAGCTATTCTGACAGGTGTAAGATGGTATCTCAAAGTGGTTTTGATTTGCATTTCCCTGATCGCTAAGGAGGTTGAGCATGACCTTAAGTGTCTTCTGGCCATTCGAAGTTCATCTGTTGTGAATTCTCTGTTCAGTTCAGTACCCCATTTTTTAATTGGGTTAATTAGAGATTTAGTGCCTAGTTTCTTGAGTTCTTTGCATATTTTGGAGATCAGACCTTTGTCTGATGAGGGGTTGGTGAAGATCTTCTCCCAGTCAGAAGGCAGCCTTTTTGTCCTACTGACAGTGTCCTTTGCTTTACAGAAGCTTCTCAGTTTCAGTAGATCCCATTTATTCATTGTTTCTCTTATTGTCTGTGCTGCTGGGGTCCTACTTAGGAACAGGCCTCCTGTGCCTATATCCTGTAGACTACTTCCCACTTTCTCTTCTATCAGGTTCAAAGTGGTCCTGATTAATGTTGATGTCTTTAATCCATTTGGACTTGATTTTTGTGCATGGTGATAGATATGGATCTACTTTCATTTTTTTTTACAGGTTGACATCCAGTTATGCCAGCACCATTTGTTAAAGATGCTTTCCTTCTTCCATTGTATACCTTTAGCTCCCTTGTCGAAAGTTAGGTGTTCATAAGTTTGTGGGTTAATATCTGGGTCTTCTATTCGATTCCATAGGTCGACTTCTCTGTTCTTATGCCAGTACCAAGCTGTTTTCAATACTGTAGCTCTATAATAGAGTTTGAAGTCAGGGATGGTAATGCCTCCAGAAGTTCTTTTATTGTATAAGATTGTTTTGGCTATCCTGGGTTTTTTGTTTTGCCATATAAACTTGATTATTGTTCTCTCAAGCTCTGTGAAGAAGTTTGATGGGATTTTGATGGGGATTGCATTGAATCTATAGATTGCTTTTGATAGAATTGCCAT